TGCCCATCAGGACTCCAGCAGATATTAATGTTCTCCCCTGGGAACCCAGACGTAATCAACAAGATAATCTGTTTGCTCATAATCCTCCACAAATTCATTTTGCTATCCTAGAAAGAAGACCAGAGCTTTCTTCAGGGCTTACTCATTAAGGTCCTAGACAAGAGGAGGGAACTGCCACTTATGATTCAACAATGAGTCCAGCATATTTATCTACACATTTCCCCATTTGGTCTTCACAATACTCCTCTAAGATATACTTTATTATCCCCATTTTATAGATAAAGAAAACAAAAAATAAAAAGATGAACCAAAGTATCAAAGCTATGAAGTCACAGAGACAAGATTTTAAACACAGATTAGACCCCAAAGCCCCCTTTTCTCTTACACCAGCATTTCTCAAACTCTAGTAATTCATATGCCAACATCACAATTTTTGTCCTATTCATTAAACACTATACTTTTGTTTATTCAAAATTTTTCTTAATATTGACCCAAAATATTTACTTAAATAAATTTAGCAACTGGGTGTGGTGGCTCATGCCTGTAATCCCAGCACTTTGGGAGGCCATGGTAGGCAAATCACTTGAGCCCAGGAGTTCAAGATCAGCCTGGCCAATATGACAAAACCTCTCTCTACTAAAAATTAGTCAGGCGTGGTGGCATGTGCCTGTAGTCCCAGCTACTCAGGAGGTAGTGGTAGGAGGATGGCTTGAGCCCAGGAGGTGGAGGCTGCAGAGAGCCAAGATTGTGCTACTGCACTCCATGCTGAGTAACCCTGCCTCAAAAATTAAAAATAAATTTAGCTTCAACTGAGTAATAAATTCTATGAGCTAGTTCTTCTAGTAGACATTAAAATATTTACATAAATGGTTTTTAATGTTCACCCTGAATCACTCATGCATCAGCAGCTGTATACTTGGGGAAAACACCACACCATTCTGCCTCCAGTGTCTTGTCAACAAAGTCCAGTGGCCCACACTGAACACATCAACTAAAAATCTCATCAACTTTTTCCATTCTAAAGCACGTATTTTTTTCACATTTTAATATCTATACTATATCTTTAAATGTATCAGGAAGCATTTCAAAATTTGGGTGCATCACAGTTATCTACCAACTTTCTTTCCTAATGGAGCATCTTATGATCAATGAAACCTTAGAGTCCACACAATAATGGCCTCAACAGTTATAACAGAGCCTATAAATGTACTGCACAACTTTCTGGTCACTTTCTCCCAGACCACCATTCTAACTCATCAGGATTTTCCAAATTCTACATGCCTCTGCACGGGATGTGCCCTCCGCCCCATTACTCACCCACTGCACACAGACCACTAAATTCCTATGGCTATCCTAAGAGTTTGCTCAAATTTGGTGAGCCCTTCCCTGGCTCCCCTAGGCAGATGTTTGTTTTCATTTCTATTCTGGGTATCTACCTTGCAGACCTCTCCATTATAAAATACGTTATTTATATATATATGTCTCTCTCCTGCAGGGGAAGTCCTTGGAGATGGAAACTCTTATTCAGCTCAGAATGTCACATACACAGCGGAGTACTATGAATGAATACAAGCAATTATCTTCCTATTACCCTCTCTCTCTGAATAGTCACCTTTAGTGTTCACAGTGGCGATGCATTTTGTAGTCCTCACATCCCAGATGCGAATAGTTTTATCTCCAGATGCCGTAACAAATAGGTCAGGATTACTTGGATGCCAACAAAGCTGGTCCACACTATCTCCATGTCCCCGATAATTATTTTCTTTGACCTGAAAGAACAGCATCCAGATGTCACTTCACATAGATGTAGCTGCCTCCCCATGTAACTTTTTAACCTTATTCAAACAAAGGTATGCTGGGATCAATAATTATAGACATGGGTAACTCAGAATCCAGTTCTTCCAAGCCCTTTCTCCCTTCTCTCCCCCCCAGTCCTTCTGCTGCTCTGAGCTTATACACCTATGCCCTTACTTTTGTGCCCTCTCTGGCCTCCTCCTCCTTCCTGGTTTTTCACCCTTACTCTACCATCAACGTTCCTAACCCAGCCGCTCATTCCCACGGGACGCCCTATCACTTCCAAAAGGGCGCTCTTCACCACCACTAATACAGCCCCTAGTCACTCCTTATCAGCACACGATTCGACTCCACACAAGTAAGGATGTCCACACCCTCTCCTCACCTTCATCCACGATCGCCAACCTCCTTACTTCCACACTTCCCCCAGTCTTCCTCTCCTCATCCTCACGACCCCGTCACCCCCACACTCCGCCTTCTCCCCATTCCTTCCTCATCTCCACACTCTCCTCGTCCTCCTTCTTCAAGCCCACTCTCCTTTATCACTCCCGCGGCCTCGTTCGCCCCCATTCGCTCTCCCACTACCGCATCTCGCTTCACCGCAGTCCCTCTACCTAGCCTGGGCCGAACCCCAGCCGCTCACCAACCGGTCCTTCTCCAGCAAGAAGACGCTGGCCGTCTTGTCGAAGGACCCCGAGGCTAGGCGACGCCCATCGCAGCTCCAGGCCACCGAGTGCACCTTGGCGCTGTGCGCCAGGAACTCGCGCGTCTTGCTGTGGCCCCGGAACAGCTCCTGCATCCCAAGCACGTAGCGCGACGGGCCGCTGCTCACTGAGCACCACGGGGCCATCGAGCCGGGGCCGGTCTGGCCCAATGCCGAGGGCCCCATGGGTGCAGTGGGCGCCGCCATGCCGAGCTCCCAGCTCACAACACC